CGGCTCAAAGGGGCTGACTAGGGGATATGACACATCAGGACAGTCAGTTTTGGGCGTGGGCTAAACCTATGCCCCCATCATCTTAGCTAGTGACAACGTGAATGCTACACATCATGGAAGAGGGATCTATCGCACAAGAAAGAAACGAGCAGGCTCAAATCTCACATGGCTACCTATATGCTCTATCTCACATTCTGATACCCTGAACTAGATGCATAAACGACTGTCAAGAACAAGTAATCAGATCAAGTCAGATCAAGTCACAGTTGGCAAGCAAACAGTTGAAAAACTGAACCCCTACATCGCTCTACTGCACATCTCAGTCCTCATCATAGGTTGTCCTAGTCGCAAACAAGTTGTCATGCATTAATCCGAAAACCAATCAATTCATCCATCAAAACACAGTGCCAATATGATCAAACAGCAGTACTTGGAGCCCTCAAATCGTAAGATTCGGACAGTGGACTAGGCTCCAAGCACCATCTAAAATATTCCAACCGATACAGAACATCCCCCCACACTTAAGCACGACATTGCCCTCAATGGAGTAGAGGGAAAGATAAGGGGGAACGATGTTACCGGGTAAGAACACTGCCGGGGGGTCGCGACGAGCACCTGGAAGGGGTGTGCATGCTGTGGGCACTCAGTCCTCTGATTTGGTGCAGGTAGTATCGAAGCTGGTCTCAGCTATCGATCGTTCCGGGATGATTCCAGGGACCGGACAGCAGCAGGCGATGCTCTGCCAGTGGTGCGAGAGCACCCATCATATGGTGGAAGACTGCCAGGCAATGAAGGAATCGACCACCCCCCAGGAGCAGGTGAACTTCATCAACAATGTCAGGCGCAATGACCCCTACAGCAACACGTACAATGAGGGGTGGCGCCAGCATCCTAACTTCTCCTGGGCTGGGCCAAATCCCAGACCACCAGCTCCACAGGGACCACCGGGCTTCCAGAGGCCACCATATCAGCCCAGACAGGGGCAATTCCAGCAGCCAGGTGCAGCCCCTGCTGCCCCAGTGCAGAGTGATCAGATGGCTGAACGGCGCCAAAAACTTGACACGCCAAAACACAACACCAAACTGCGACCAAGTGTAATCGCAGTCCGGGAATGCAGTAACAGGCAAGTTTAATTATCAACCCGGGGTCTAGATCTACTGCTTACTCCGTGATTCTCTATTATCTAGCAAACTAATTCGAGTGATTGTTGTTTAAAGCAAAAGCAGTAAGAAAGCAGGAAATGGTTCGGTTTTCAAAAGCAGTTAAGAGTCACTCGGGATTGAGTCCCCCTAGCCCCTTAGTTAGGTTCAATTGCAATTCCCTGGGTTGATTTACTGTTGATTAGACTGCGGAAGATCCGACAGTAGCTTGGAATCTCTTAAGCTGACCAAGCCCTCTCAGTCTAACTTCCCGGCAGACGACTAGTCTTCACCGGGATAGAAAGCTGAGGCTATAAACACAGAACTCCACTACTGGCATTAAGAACACCAGTACAAAGCAGTCAACTGGCTAACTCTCGTATAGCCAATCTCCTACTATCGAATGAAGAAGCTCTAACAACCTAATCAGATTCTATCTATCTCAGGTTGAAGCAGAAATTGAGACAAGCTGATCAGACTCAAATCAATTCATGAAACATGCGTCATTCGATTAAAATCAAACAATAATATCATCCCAAGTCATTACAATCAAATCCCTAACACAAGGAACTAGGGTTCTTCATACCCAAGTGAGAGAAGGGTTCTACTCCATAGAGAGAGAAGAGAAAACAAGAATCGGATTAGTCATACTCATAACGATGAGGATAATCTGCTCCGGGACGATGATGTTCACTCCTATGACGATCTCCAGGCTCGATTCGATGAAATCCAGCTCTTAGACGGCTTCTAGGATGAGTTCTTCGCACTTTCTCTCTCTAGGGCTCTGTTTTTGCTCTGAAAACACGATTCTCCCACTTTTGGCTCGGATTAGGCACTAAAACCGGATTTCCCCAGGTGCACGGGCAGGTGCACGGCCGTGCACCACCCCATTCTGGCTGTGCAACTCTCACAACACGCCGTTTCATTTATTCAAGCTCAGCCTCCTTGCACGGCCAGGCGCACGGCCGTGCAAGCCTGGAATGTGCCCGTGCACGGCCTCGGCGTGAGGCGCACGGCCAAATAGCTCATGTGCACGGCCGTGCAGCCTCCTGGTCTGGCCGTGCACTCCTCCAAAAGCTCGCCCTTCGTCCGTTCTTCGTCCAATCGACCCCAGACTCGCTCCTAAGCCTTCATTCACGTACTAGGACCTGAAATAACACAAACAAGCACAACCTAGCGTGAAATCGGCCTAAAACACGAAAATCAACACCTCAAACGGTGTAAGTATGAGGGTAAAAACATGTGTAAATGACGGTCTATCAGCTGCGGGAGAGGCTCGACCGTAGTATGGCCAATACGAGCTGAACTCTGACATTCCCGGAGACCTCTGTCAAGCACCTCCCTAGGCTCAAGAAGTCGGACCACCGGCCCTTGTTAACCTCACCAACTGCGCTTGTCCGGCCGGCGGGAGATAAACCATTCAAGTTCCTCGCTGCCTGGCTCACGCACGAGGGATTCAGACCCATGACGGATGCAGCATGGGCGAAGGGCACCAATTTTACTGAGTCGGCTGCAGCGTTCGCCTAGGACGCAGTGGTTTGGAACTGGCGTGTATTTGGCCACGTCATGAGGAAGAAGGACAAATTGATCCGCCGTCTCGAGCAGCTGGAGCTGGTTCCGCCAAACTTGAGGAATGAAGCCATTCTTGTCCAAGTTCAGGAGGAACTTGAGTTCGTTCTCTTCCAGGAGGAGCTGTTATGGCTTCAGAAATCAAGAACAGAAAGGATCAAGGCAGGGGACCAAAACACAGCGTATTTCCACGCTAACACTCTCCGGCGGAGGAAGAAAAACCGGGTGACCATGCTGAAAAATGAGGTAGGGGAGTGGATTGAAGACCCGGCTGCTCTACTGGACATGGTAAGGGTCTTCTTCCAAACACTCTATACAGACGAGGGAGGGGACCTCCCCACCATGGATTCGGGCTTCCCGCTTCTAGAGGCCTCGCGATGGGCTGCCCTTGATGCTCTCTTGGACACCGCGGAAGTCTACGGTGCCATTCGGTCGATGGGGGCTCTCAAAGCTCCGGGAAGAGACTGCCTCAACCCGATATTTTTCCAACGATGTTGGGAGACGGTGGGGTCTTCTCTGGTCCACTTGGCTCAGGAGTGCTGGACCCAGCCTGAGAAGATCCGGGACGTCAACTCGACGGTACTGGTTCTCATTCCCAAAACATCGAACCCGGTGACGATCGACCAGTTCCACCCAATCAGCCTGTGTAACGTGGCCTACAAAGCTATAACAAAATGCCTGGCTGAACGGTTGAAACATCTGATGCCGGATTTGGTTCACGAGACCCAGACCAGCTTCGTGCCTGGCAGACAAATTACAGACAATATATGTATTCTGCAGGAGGTGGTTCATTCTATGAGAGCTCGCAAAGGACGTCGAGGGTGGATGGTTTTAAAGATGGATCTGGCGAAAGCCTATGACAGAATCAGATGGGGGTTTGTGCGGGATACGTTGGTTGCAACAGGGGCTCCAGAAGGCTTTATCAACCTCACGATGGCCTGCATTTCATCTTCGAAAATGAAAATCCAATGGAATGGTGGGTTAACGGAAGAATTTCAGCCATCCAGAGGTCTTAGACAGGGATGTCCTCTATCTCCCTATCTTTTTACGCTTTGCATGGAACGCTTGGGCCATCTAATTGATGAATCGGTAAGAGCAGGTCGCTGGCAGCCCATAAAGCTGACCAATAACGGCCCCGCTTTGTCCCATCTTTTCTTTGCAGATGACCTCATCCTTTTCAGCGAGGCCAATGTCACTCAAGCTCAAGAGATGATGAACTGCTTCGACAGATTTGGAGCTTCATCGGGACAGCAGATCAGCCGCCCAAAGTCCCGAGTCTTCTTCTCGGCTAACCTGACCACAGATCACCGAAGGAGCATCATTGAGGAATTGGACATCCCTGAGACTCTGAATCTAGGACGTTATCTGGGAGTCCCGGTGATACACGACAGGGTTACCAAAGCCACGTTCACGGAGCTCATCGACAAAATTGATGCAAGGCTCGCGGGCTGGTCGGCGTCATCCATGTCGCTGGCCGCACGAATAACCCTTGCACAATCTGTGCTCTCAGCACTAAAAGCCTACACGATGCAGACGGCCTTCCTCCCTGCGAACATCCGGGAGTACATCGACAAGAAAATCCGGGCCTTTGTTTGGGGTAGTTCAGACCAGGGAAGAAAAGTCCACCTAGTGGACTGGGAGACGGTTTGTAGACCAAAGGATGAGGGCGGGCTGGGCCTCAGGGGTGCAACGAGGATGAACGAGGCTTTCATGTTGAAGATATTATGGCGCTTGATGACGAAGCCGGAAGAGCTCTGGGCGCGCGTCATCCTCGCCAAGTACTGCCGAAACACGAATGAGGGGCTCCTCTTTAAATCCAATGGACGCCTTTCCAATCTTTGGCGGGGAGTCCTGCGCGTCCGAGACCAGGTGGAAGCTGCTTCTGCTTGGAACATCCGGAACGGCCGTGTGGCTCGGTTCTGGAGTGACCGTTGGGTGGATGATTCCACCATCCTGAAGGACCATGCTCCGAATCTTCCGCCAGAGTTGGAGGATGCGCCTGTCGCCGAATTTGTCCTAAACGGTGAGTGGAATGTACCATTTCTATCTGCCTTCTTACCGAGTTCTATTGTTTCGCAGGTACTTCTCCATCCGGTGCCGACAGAAGCTGAGCCCGATGTGCTCTACTGGCGGCTGACGCAGAACGGGGCCTTCTCGTTTCGCACGGCCTACGAGATGACAGATGAAGCTGCAAGCCCAGCCACGAGCCAACCCATCTGGAGATCGATTTGGAAGACACCCACGATGCAGAGAATACGCGCTTTCCTCTAGCTGCTCAATCACAACCGACTCCTGACGAATGCCGAGAGGGCCCGACGCCACCTCACAACAAACGTCGATTGCAACATTTGCGGTGGGGGCCCGGAGACTGCACTCCATGTCGTGAGGGACTGCCCGTTTGCGAGAGCCACTTGGGCGGGGATCCTTGAAGATGAACCTGATGTTGATTTCCTTGAACCCGAGTTACACAGGTGGTCAATGCATTATTTATCTGGGCGGAGTAAAGTCATTGATAGTACCCTTTTTGCAGGCACGTGCTGGCTTCTGTGCAAGAACCGAAATGATCACCTGTTTCGAAGCGAGTTGAAAACCCATGAGCAGCTCCAGTTTTCCACCAAACAGCTGCGGCTTCAACTAACCAAAGCCTTTGAGAAGGAGAGCAATATTTTCGGAGATGGGGGACTCCGAGAGAGGCGGGATATTAGCTGGAAGCTTCCGCCGAGTGGTTGGGCCTGCGTCAACACTGATGGCTTAGCCACTCACTCTCCTGCGAGCACGAGTTGTGGCGGCATCGTGAGGGGAGACGATGGCCGGTTTATCAAAGCTTTCACAACGAACTTAGGAGGGGGTTCGATCACTCGTGCAGAGCTGGCTGGAATTGCTTATGGGTTGAGATTCGCTTGGGAAGAGGGGATCAGGAAGGTTGTTCTACAGACAGACTCCTGCACTGCCCGCACCTTGATCGAGAACGCGACTCCGCAACATCCTCATTACTCTTGCATTGCAGAAATCCGCCAATGGCTAGCTCGGCCTTGGCTTGTCAGGATAGAGCATGTTTTTAGAGAAGCGAACTTCGTGGCTGCACCTCGCTTCCATTGGCCATTCTGTTCCGATAGGGGTTCACGGGATTCAAAACCCGAGTAGTACTCTTCTGTATTGGTTGTATTTTGATACTCTGGGGATTCAAACACCCCGTTTCGTTATTCCTTAATATAGGCTAGGGCGCCCTTTGCGCCCTGTTTCTTACCAAAAAAAAAACTATCACTCAAAATGAGTGATAGTTAAATCTCAAGTTTTTTGTGAGATTGTTGGGTTTTTTCTTTCTTCCAATTATGTCTCTATCTTTTTATATGTGTTGCTTTTTATATTAAAAACGAAAGATAAAAGTGATATTTCATCCAAAAGTAATATGACTTATTTAAATAATACAATACCTATCACAAAAATCAAACGATAAAAACTACAATACACCAATTTTCTTCTACATATATATATTATTTTACATGCATTAATAAAGTAGTATCAATTTAACTATCATCAAAACCAAACCACTAAAAGTTAGAATAGCTAATATTCTAACTACTCATTACGTATGGAAGCTGCAATTAACACAAATGCCAACATAATTGCTGCCGGGTTTTGCTTTCCTATGGTTCCCCCGACAGGCTTGAGTTCCTGTGCTTAAGCCCAAAAGCTTAAGCATATGCTTAAACCAATTTTATTGGTTGTTAGTGGATATGACGGTTTAGAAGCAGTTTTTAGTTAATAATTAATTAAGGGTACTGAGGTAAATGATATATTTAACTTATTTAATATTTAACCTAATTTCATATTTAAAAGACTAAACGTCAACTCTAAAACCAGAATGGATGCCGGTTAGGTTTTTTTTTTGAAACAGTTTCGTCGTCTTCTTCCCAGCGCAAACGCTTGCGACCGTCCGGCCACTGTCCGGTCTTCTTGCCGCCGGCATCTTTCTTCCCTCGAATATAAACGGTAGGTAAGGCTGTTTGGGTACAAGATGCAAGCCCTTTGTTTCTAGTCTTTCTTACGTAGCACGATTTTCGGGCACTAGTGCTTTTCGTTTCATTTTCCGGCCGGTGTCTTCGTCAAACAAGGTCGTCGAGGAAGCTTATGTCATCACTGAAGGGCAGTCCAGAGTTTGGTCGTCGATTTTTTGGACTCGTTGAGAAAGATGGTCGTGTTCTTAGTTACCAATTTTTTTTATTACCATTATTAACGTTTTTGTTACCAGTTAGTAATCTTTTATTGTTAAGTTAGTAACGCTTCATTGGCAAGTTGGCAATGTTTTTGTTAACATTACTAACATTTTGTTGTTAAATTAGTAACGCTTTTGTTATCATTATTTATGTTTTAGTTACCGGTTCGTAACATCAATTGTTAATGGGTTGTACATGGCATGTGCATTGAATTACTAATGATTTTTAGATAAATTTTTATAGATTAAACTTATCGTTGTCAACTTTTATACAACGTGGGAAATGTTCTCAACGTGTATGCAAGATGTACAAAATCATTAATATTGACCAGTAATAAAAAGTATTAACATTTTTTGGACAATTGTCAACAATCGGGTGCACCATTATCAACCTTTATGCAAGGTATCGTTAAACGTTTATTCGATGTATTATTAATGAAATACAATGTAAATAATATAACGTTGAAAAGGATCAGTAATAAAAGTATTAACATTTTTCGGAGAATTTTTAACAATGCAACATAGCGTTATCAATGTTTATGCGACGTATAATGAACTTAATGAACTTGAGAATTTACAACCACAATATATACGCTTAAGAATGAAAGTATGTTGTATTGATGATGTTAGTAAAATCATTGATTCTAAACTTAGAATTAAATATTTAAAGTAGACTTATGCCATTAATAAAGTGAACAAAACTATTAATAATACATAACATAAACATTAATATTTTCTGCATTGTCGTTAATAATATTGTAGGTTCCTTTTCTACTCTCGTTCTAGTGCATGCCAATTATAATTAACGATATTAGCAATGTCAACAATCATAAAAATGTTAACAAACACCGGTTATAGAATTATTAACCTTTTGTCAAAAAATTGTAAACAAAATTGCCATGCGCTATTACTATTACGCTAGTGTACAAACAACATATATCAATAACTTTCTGAATTGTTATTAATTTTTTTATTCAGATTATTAACAGTTTCTACAAATGCATAACGAATCCGGCCAACAGAATCGCCGAAGGTTGAGACGTGGTTGGGACTTGGGATGCAATTCAGAGGCTATGGAAACAACAATGGGCGACTCGTTCGCGGCGGGATGACGGCGACACTGCTTGGCAGAGACGATTTATTTCAGGAGATGATGCCGCCTTCGGCCGCAGTATGGAGGAAAACAAGGCGTCGGCGGACTGCGGCGGGATGGTAGATGGGGTCCTCGAGGTCTGCCGGAAGAGCCCGCCAGTCTATCGCGTCGGTTTCTCTTTCTAGGCGGCAGAGTGGTAAATAAGTTTAGGGTTTCATTTTCTTGTTTTCCGATTTTTATTAACTAGTAAATTTCTTCCTAATACCAAGTTTACCCTTATTAACTATCCAACTAATTACCTGCCGAATAATAATTGAAATGCTTTCAGCCAATAGAAATGATTTAAGTAATATGCTTAAACTTCTAGGCTTAAGCACCAGATCTGACCCGCCCCCGACAGCATTGGAATTAAGCCACATTGTACAAATAGGTTGATTGGTTTTAATATTTTTTTGGATTTTACTACTTCATCAAATTTTGGATTTTACTTAATTCTAATAAATAATTAAGTGACTGTGGGGATTATCAATGTCAACCATTTCTCGGTAACAAACATGTTTAGGCTTTTTTTTCGAAATTTCACGTGTTTTGAGGAATTCCTTTCTTTATAAATGTATTTACAGGGTTTTTTAAGGGAAAGAAGCATCTGAATTTTGTCATTGCACTACATTTAGCATTCCCAGAACTATATAATTATTTTTATTTTTATTTTTTTGTTAGTTATTTGTGGTTATCAAGAAGGAATCTTCCATTATTAATAGTCTTCCTAGACAAACCATTCACTCCCTACCTATATATCTAGGTGTTACTTGTCAGTATGGTTGTTTAAAAATTCATTAGGTTTAGACTTAGAGATGGGAAATAATGTTAACATTCATGCGTATGAAATTGGGGAAATTAACTTAAGAGAACGGTGTAATATGCATTGTCATAATGGTATCAGAGTTTCAAATAAGGGGAGGTGTTTGAAATTAAAAACGTTCCATATAAATGGTTGGCATAATTAGTGAGCATATTGTACGACAAAGTTGTATAAACTTTGAGGCAAAGAGATGATTGTTGTTTTGAGATAATGTACGAAGGATACTATAAAATAAACGTTATTTGAGAGGGCGCAAACGAAACGATTGTCGAGCATATTATATACCTTCAGGCCTCATGAAGAGGCAGTCTCTCTCAATTGATTGCTTGATTTCTTTTTATCAAACTTATTAATTTAACAAGAGAGAAAATGTAGGCGCCCGATATCAGGAATATTTCCCCAAGCTAAGAATATAATTAAAGAGGACTTTCCACTACTATACTATGTAGTATGTATCAAACATCTTGACTGCATACTATGCCTATGAAGCTTTTCTCTTATGTGAAACACACAATAAAAACAACAATAATAATATGCTCTTAAACTGGTGGGAACAAAATAATATAAAAACTAACATAAAATTCCTTCTTTTTTTCCCAATCAAACCCCACAAACAAAAGGAAGGGGGAGAATTAAAGTGGGCACATAGGACCCTGGCCTTCATGCATAATATTTCAACATCCCAAGTCCCATCTTAGAGGGGGAATAAATATAATTATAGGGTTCTATTTCCAATAAATTAATGGATTTAGAAAGTAAACCAAAGGGGGACATTTTGAATCTTTTGTAAGGACTTGGAGACCAGAGAAGCTTTGATTAGATACTGCAAATCAAGCTAGATGGTGACTACTTAATTGGAAATTGAAAGAGGAAAGAATAGGTGAAAGGTGAATTGCCTTTGGAGTTATCAAAAATTTTAATGCTTTTCTTGTTGTAAAATGGGTTGCTCAGGTGCAATGTAGTCAAAATCGTGTTTTAAAACTTAAAAACTTATACTTTTACGTTTTTAGGTCACTAAAATGCTTTTATATGGAATAGCAGCTTGTATAACTAATGTAGTTAAAAGCGCACTTAAAAACTTACGATTTTATGCTGCTAGATCATTATAACGCTTCCCCGCACCAGTTCCATCAGCAATATGATGAGTGGGTGAGCCTACCGGTAGACCGGTCTCTAGTTGTGGCAGTAATCGCCTCACCGCACCCTTTGGCCCCACAGGGGGGTTCGGGGATTGTGTGCCGATGGGATGGGGCGACCAGGGCTGGCTCCCATTCGGCGGGTGGTATGGTTGTGATAAGTTCAGAGAATGGGATCCTGATGGCAAAGAGGGTCCAATTCCTGCATATCGATGATCCTTTAGTGGTTGAGCTGCTTGCGTTGCGGGAGGCTGTGTTGTGGTGCCTGGCTCGAGGATTCCACGAAGTCTGTTTTGAAGGGGATGCGAAGGTGATTATTGACAAAATTCGGCAAGGGGACGTTCGGGATAGTAGTATGGGGGTTGTTCTTCAGGAGGTAGTGCAGTTTTTTGCCCTTAATCCGAGCTTGAGTATTCGATTTTTAGATCGGCGTAGTAATAGGGTAGCCCATTTGGTGGCTAGAAAGGCCCTTTCGTTGTACCCGACTACCTGTCGTTTTTTTTATTTTCAGGTCTGGCTGAATTTCAGGATGTAACTATCTCGTGTTTTTTATTAATATATATCTATCTTTTGTAAAAAAAAAAAATCATTATAACGCTTCTACATAAAAAAAACCATTTTTGCTTACATTGCTCATCAAACGGTAGCTATAACTACAAGCCCAAATGTCCATCTAAGTATAGCAACCTTGAGAACAAATTGATTTTCTTTTTTTTATTTTCTCAATGGCAAAGATGATTATGCAATCAAAAGGTAAAAGAACATTTAGCACATATTGATGACAATTAGCCCATTACCTAAAGAAGATTTTGGCTTTGATCCTTTCCCATTCAACAACATTTTGTTGTCCTCTTTCTTCTCCTCTCCCCACCTTTTTACCCAAAAATTCCACAGTTTATTCTCTTTGGAAATAAATGCTGAAATGATTGTTGGGATGGTGAAATATATATAGGCTCCCCACCCCCACCACATACTTTAATCAAAACCTAATCCAATCACAAAGAAATTTGGTGCTAACTCAAAGTAAACAATGGAGTAGATTCCCCCACCTTTTTTCCTACTTTGCCCCCATGCATAATTAGTGGAATGGAACTTGTTAATCTCTTTCTAAATGAATGATAATTAGGGAAGACAGTTTCGACCTGACCCGTTTTATTTGATCTGTTTGGCCTGTTTTGGAGCGGGTCCGACCCGTCCCTTAGGCGAGGCGGGGCGGGCATGGGTACTCTCATCGACTTGACCCGCCCCATTCTCGACCCGTTCTTGCCTAAATTACATGTAATCTTAGTCAAATTACTTAGAATTTTTCTTTTATTACATCATAATTTAGCTATAATAAAGTTGTAAATTAGTGAAAACCTCAATTTCTCTAATAATTTAACTACATTTATCATAATATTGTTTGTTTTCTTGGTCTTATAATAGAAATAACGAATATTTCTAAAGTTTTTCATATAAATTGCATACACATTGGACCTGCCCCGACCTACAGACCGTAATAAATTACCCGACCTGAACCCGACCTGCCACGGAGCGAGTCTGGGTACCAAGAACCCCCGAGATCTGCCACATTGTCATTGTCATTCCTAATGATAATGTCTTTGTTTACCATTCACAATTATATATGCATCAATGTTGGAAACAAGGAAATGGAGAACTTATATTACTCTTTCTTCCATACAATTCAATTATTGGGATTTATTTTTTCCTCATGAAGCTAGTATAGATGTCAATTCTTACCAATAATTTGGATGTTTACGAGAGATTAAGAAGAATGGCTTACATGTTTGCTCGAGTGGAAGTTAATTTATGGGTCAAAATTTATTCTTATATAATGTCATTTGTGCTTAAAGCTAGCATTATATATAAGTGATTATCAAGATTCGGACAATCTTTAGCGATATCAAGAACCAACTTCCTTTAATAAATAAGATTTGTCAGGAAATACTAACAATGTGTACTATATCACTTCTCATGGTACATTGCACTTTCACAATCCAACTTTTAATGAATCATGCATCGTTCTCTTACATCTAGTTTCCTAAAAAAAAAAAACATTACTAATGTTGTCGCACGAAGTGATAATCAACAATAATTCTCGTCTTCCAGAAACCAAAATAATGTCTGCTGACCACAACATTAAGGAACGACCGTCCAATCTCTGCAACACACACTTAATCTTCTTGTCATCTTTAGCTCAAAGTTGGAATAGCCGTGGAAAGTCTGGACAAGAGAGAACGAATTATGTAATTTTCAGGCCCAATATGTATCCACGCTGCACTTAATTTGCCTCTGCTTTACCTCTTTACTTTCCGACGAAAATGTTCGCCCCGTTCATTTGTTTTCTTTTTTCGTAGATATAGTACCATTACACATTTCGGGCGATTTTTTGGAATGATCATTTTTGTTGTATTTTAGAGGCTATAGATCGCGGATTCGACCTGAGGCGATATGGGGCTATTGTCCACCGATGATGAAGTCAATTAATCGTCGATTTGGGCGAAAAATGTTCCGGGGCATTTTCGTAATTTTCCGCTCGCTTTTTCGGAAGGCCATTTTCCTTGGCTTTTGAAGGCTTCGGATCACGGATTCGGCCTGAGGCGATCCTTCATCAATGGTTAAGTCTATGAAGCACCGAGTCGGGCGTATTTGTTCCGGGCCCATTTTTGGCATTTTCCAAAGGGATTTCGGGAGATTTTTTGGAATGATCATTTTTGTTGTATTTTAGAGGCTACAGATCGCGGATTCGGCCTAAGGCGATCTGGAGCTATTGTCCACCGATAATGAAGTGAATTAATCGCCGATTTGGACGAAAAATGTTCCGGGGGCATTTTCGTAATTTTCCTCACGCTTTTTTGGAAGACCATTTTCCTTGGATTTTAAAGGCTTCGGATCACGGATCAGGCATGAGGCTATCCTTCACCGATGGTTAAGTCTATTAAGCACCGCTTCGGGCGTATTTGTTCCGGACTCATTTTTTGCATTTTCCAAAGGGGTACCATCACAGATTTCGGGCGATTTTTTGGAATGGTCATTTTTGTTTGATTTTGGGGGCTACAGATTGCGGATTCGGCCTGAGCCTATCTGGGGCTATTGTCCACCGATAATGAAGCCAATTAATCACCAATTTGGACGAAATATGTTCCGGAGGCATTTTCATAATTTTCCGCGCTCTTTTTCGGAAGGC